TTTAGATCTTCAAAATGTACTTCTTGATCTTTTCTAGCACAAAACAGTGCCTTCCTTCTAGCATGGATAGCGTAATCCTATAAGCCAGGGGTAGCCAACCGGTCAATTAGTCCAGTCGATCGTGGCAAGGCAAAAAATACTACTAAAAAAGTACTAAACTATGCTGTTTCATTTTAAGATTTCAAGAAGTATGTAAGTGGTAGATCGCCCAGGGTTTCGTTAGTAAACAGTAAATCTTATGTCTAATCAAGTTGACTATCCCTGCTATAGGCATTCTAAAGAGTATTGAATTAAAGAAGAAAAGTTAATGCGTTATCGTTTAAATTGCTTTGTCGTAACTGCTAAACGTGCTTACTTCTCTTATAATGATATTGCAAATGCTATAATTTAAAGTAAACGTAGGTACTTAGTACCTATTTCTGCTTACCTTCCTATTTCTGATAATCCAACTGGCACGTGTCTTTTTTTTATTTTAATAATGGCTTTTAAACAATAACTTAATTAACCTTACGCGTTATAACCATTTATTAAGTATTTTTGCTTTAAATAAAATTACGCTCTAATAAAATATGACAATATACAATTAAAGCGTTACTCACAATATACGACTGTATTGTTTGAAGCACTAACTATACATAAAATGTCGTTGTTTCCGTGTGTTTTTATATATGGATTATTATAACCATTTTTAATTAACTAATAGCGCCTACCTACACAATCAATTTTACATCTTAATTTGTTGATAATAAGAATGAAAATAATTTCTAGGTGACAGTTAAACGATTAAAATTGTCAAGGAAGGGAATACCCTATGCTATAGCTAGTAATCATTATCGGTCTGTATTACTCAATTAATGATTGCAATCGTCATTAACATGGAATTAATGACGTTTAGGGACTTTCTTAATGATAATGAGAATTTTTAGGAATGTGTATGCAAGATTTTAGGAAACTGTATGCAAACAGTTGGTGCTACTTAAATAAGAGTCGCTAAGAATGTCTAGAATCATATGACTCTACAATACTCCTACTAAGTACCTATCTATTCTGAAGCCCGTATTCACAACCATTACTATTATGTCTCACAGTGCACGTGGACGCACAGAGTCACGCACGAACTAATCACAGAGCTCTATTCAACGCTGTGCGTTCGATTTGCTGCTTACTTAAGCAAGCATCGTTTATGAATACGGGCGTGATTCAAGCTCGCGACTGTGAGTCTACTCGTACTTAGGCCCAATTAACTTTGGAGTATTTTTCGAGAAATCAAGCGTTTCTATTTGCAAACCTTTTTGGCTCACTCTGTATAACTGTCACACTATAAATCCATTTGCCAATAAAGTTTATCTAAATGTCTTTACGTATTATGTTAACATAATATGCCCTGTCACGCGTGTTACCGTTACAGAATGTCACACATGTCACAGTGTCACAGCCAGTGATCTGTGCATAGGGTTGCCAGGCGTCCGGCTTTTTAGGGACTTGTCCGGCCTGTCCGGCTTTTGTTAGGCTTTTTATTTGGTTCCGCGCCAGGCGAAAGTCGAGCCACAGAATCATATGAAGCGCACGCATCAGGATGTTGGATAGTAACCGATGATGATAGTACTCACTCATGAACTGACACTGATAGCCGATTGTCACATGACTGCTGATTGTCACATGTCCGGCTTTTAGGATAAAATGTCCGGCCAAATGAAGCACAAAGTCCGGCTTTTGTGATTTTGGACCTGGCAACCCTATCTGTGCATCCTTCACCCGATTGCGGCGAAGGTTGACACGCGCATGCGCGAGCCTGATGCGATTATGCCAATTGATGCTCCCGATTATGCGATAACATTCTTTCATAATTGGCGCACGAGATGTAATAATTTTTTGCCTTGGATATATGATTTTATAGGCTCCAAGATGCGCGGTTTCTAACGCCCGTATTCACAAACGATGCTTGCTTAAGTGAAGCAGTAACGAACGCACAGTGATGAATAGACCTCTGAGATTTATTCGTATGTCACCCTGTGCGTCCGCGCGCACTGTGAGACCTAGGGCGTATGATGTGATTTCTCGCTGGTAGATCATATTTTTCAGTGGTTTTATGCCTTGTGATTTATGATTTATCTTTCTGTTCTGTAAACTCTACCGTGCAACCAGTTTTCTCAAACGCCTGTTTACGTGGCCGTGGCTTGAACGCCTTAGGAGGGTTTAAAATTAGGAATTCCATCGTGTACTATAATATATTGAGCCCTTAACACCTTTGCTGCGGCAGTAACTTTTTAATACTTTCCATTCCTTCGGTACAAGGTCAATAAACCTGGTATTAAAACTTACATTGTGGCGGCACAAGGCTTAAAGACCTTGTAATATTTAAGATATAATAATTTTATTTTTGGCTTCATGTTAATAGATATTGTGTTTTTTTTCTTTGAATATTAATAATGATGCATTTATTGACATACACCTGAAGGCGTTCGTGAATAACTTGTTTAGTATGAAAATTATAGCTATATTCAAAATACAAGGCTTATGCACCCTGTGCCCGCACTGAAGTAGGGAAGTCTGGTGGGTATTCTAGTGATGTGAAATACAAATATCGATAGTTTAAATTAAGTTTTAATAAAAATTTAAAAAAGTAACAA